TGAAAAAGGAACAATGGTCAAGGTGGAGTGTTTCAGTTGTATAAGATGGTGAGTCTGCATCTAAGTTGATATAGCAGATGATCTTGTCTTTGCAAATTCAGAACGTCTTTATATATAATTTTGTTGCTTGCGGTACAATCAAACAACAGAGCTGAGACACATCTGTTGGGTGCTCTACTGGGTACAAGTAGTTACTGCACCCCAAGAGACAGGCTGCTTACGCTTGTGCTTTAGAGTTCTGATTCAGCGAGTTGGGTCGTATTCAGTGAGAGTGGATCTTCAATTTGAATTTGGTACCGATGCTTCTTTTCCCACGAGCAAGCTGGAACTTTTATGACACAACAAGCTATCTCTCACTATGACGGGAACTCGTGAATTGTTATGTTAGGACTTTCGCAGGCTGTAATCAGTGAATGTTTTTTTGTGGTCTTTCGTTAAAAATCTGGAACAGATTGATAGATTTGGAGAATACTGTATGTTTGCGAGGATTAGATTTGATTTTTGTGCAGGTTGCGAGGCACAGGGGAGTACGACAAGTTCTTTGCTGAAGGTGTTTATAACTGTGCTGGATGTGGGACTCCGCTTTACAAGTCCACCACCAAGTTTGATTCTGGCTGTGGCTGGCCAGCTTTCTATGAGGGTTTCCCTGGTGCAATAAATCGCACCGTGAGTTCAATCTTTGGTTCAGTCTTTGTCGTGGTCCCAATAACGTTGCCAATTGCACCTCTAACAAGAACTGTTTTTCAGCCGGACCCAGATGGACGAAGAACTGAGATTACATGTGCGGCTTGTGGCGGGCACTTGGGCCATGTTTTCAAGGGCGAGGGATTTTCGACACCGACTGATGAACGCCATTGTGTCAACAGCATTTCAATCAAATTTGCGCCCGAGAAATCCTCGTGAAACTCGAGAACAGACTATGCTTGGATTTTAGTGAATAATGGAAGGCAAATATGGGACCTACTTATGGGTGATGAACGGACATTATGGTTTTGCATAGAATGTGTTCTCTGTGATATAGTCCAGATGAGCGGAGTAGCTGGAGATTAAACTGAAGATTCCGCTTTGGCTTTGCTGTGAAACTGATTGAATTCTGGTTTCAGTAGTTGTTTCATCTGAGATTCTGAATCATCTAAAGACTTCCACCTAACTGAGCATCTTAAGCATCATTGGCCCTCAAAAGTGCGACTACTAATCTGCAAATTGATTGTTTTGAATTTGTATCTAATCTAGAGAGACAGAGAATTAGGCAAACATCGAATGGAGAAACGAAGCAAAAGAGCGACCAGATGGGTGGGAGACGTCCCAAAAGAAGATTGATTCAAAGCTTCAGAGGAAGTTAGTATTCCCCGGACTTATTCTGATAGGCAAATCACATATTACGAATACGTAACGACCACATAGCACTCTTTGAAGAACACTACTTGATTGGCTTTGCTCACCACATTGCTCATATAATGCATATGTCTTGCTTTAGAGGAGAAGAGCGGTAAGAACAAGTCTAAGATCCCATCAATGAGACATGACGCCATGCATCTCCCCATCCAAATCTAAAAGAATGAGCTGTTAATTTTGTCCCAGTGTGCAATGGCTTAACGAGTTGGCAAATTATCTAATTATACAGTTTCACAGTCACATGCCCTGATAGCGAAAACACCATCGGTAAGAGAATCCCAGCACTTTGCCTCTATCAGTTTTTCTTCATGCTCTGCTTCCTCATTCGGTCTGAGACTGTAGTACAAGCAGCGCAGTACGTGGAGATCAGATGTTTTTTAGATTTTTGCGATCAAATTGTGTGCGACTGAGGGATGGCCATGTCGAAACTTAGGCATAAATCTAACATTTTCTACTCTATTCTTATCGATGGTGATAGAAAACTAAGACATGGTCAGGTTAAAGAGAAACACAAGCGCCATCGACAGGAGATGGATCACATAACCTAGACTAGAAGCACAAGCAATTTCCAGGGAAGAGTGACAGCTCCTTCATTTGGTTAATTACAAAGGAAAAGCGTGCCGTGAATCCATGACAAGAGGTTTAGGCAGAATATGTCATGTACAAAAATGAATTCTACAGTGTCTTCTCATCACATTGACCTCAATTGAAGATAAATAACTCGAGCTTAGTGCGGTATTCGTCCAGTTCCAGGGAGATTAATCAAAATTCACTGGAGAATATTGTTCAGAGACCACGCCTTCGAAACAAATTAGAAGCGAGAGCATTCCTAATAAGTAAGCATGCATCTTTGGAACGAGACAGCGTGTCTTAGCCTCTTTTGCGCCCCCTCCTCCTAACTCCTTCCACTTCTTCCCGGGACAGAGAATACAGCCCGACCTTCACAAAAGAACCACGACATGGAAGGTGGCACTTAGGATCAAAGGACCTATTTTGACATGGCGAATCAGCCTGCCTCTTGCTGCCTCACTCGGGTTATCCAAAGTATGGTAAGGGCATTAAGCTCATGAAGGTGGTCATGACTACACTTCTACGTTGATGTTCAATGAAATTTGTTCGATACTATAGAATGCAAAGGAGTGCAAACCCATAGACAAAAGGAGCTGAGAACGCCAAAAAACGACTCATTTAGAAGACTAAGCAACTACAACGTGAGTCAATGCATTCATCCCAAGTAATTTCCCACTCTATAAGTATGTCGAACCAGCTTCAACAGTTACGAAAACAGAAGACACTATTTCCTTCAAATGCTATCTTGTTTGCTCTTTCCAAATCTGCTAACCTGCGCAGAGCATTCTTGTCCAAGGACAACAAAGGAGATGTCTCACATTCTCTTTTGCATAGCAAGCATCTATTGACCAGGATATTCCCCCTTTTTCGCAGATTTTTATGGGGAGAATTGGATCACTAAGTTCTCAAATTAAGGAAAAAAAAGGACACAAGAGACTCTTTTTGCAGACTCTAGTTGCTTCCCGGCAAGTGTCAAATCCTATACCTGCTGGTATTCCTGATAAGAAAAATTAGAACAAGTTCTTTGCAGGTATTTTATAATGTTGCGACACACCAGTTCACAAGTCCACATCCAAGTTTGGTTCGGTTGCGGCGGGCCAGCTATCTAGGGGGTGTACCTAGAGCAATCGTGCTGTGATGTGATCTTTCATCTACATTGTTTTTGGTCAAAATCAATGTTTTGAATATTGCACCTACAAAAAGAACAGATTCACAGCTGAACCCAGATGGAAGAACAACTGAGACTAAGCATGCAGCTTGTGGTTGGCATTCGGGCCATGTTTTCGAAGGCAAGGTGGCTCTGACTCCGATTGCTGGACGGCAACGTGCCAACACTGTTTCAATAAACTATGTCTGAGAAATCGTCATGAACCTCGAAAACAACAGGCATATGCTCAGAAATTTGACAACAATGGAAGACTAAATGGTACTTCTTGTTGGAGATATCAGGAATCTGGAGTGTAATTACCAAGTCCCTCAACTCCCACCGTTGCGTTAATCGTATCTTATTGCAACAAAGAACGAAATTATGGTGTATTCTGGTATGTACTTAACCAAAGACGAGTAAAGGCAGATTTTTTGTTTGGTTTTCCATTTGAGTAAATGGGAGATTTAACTGGTGTATGTTAAACAGTATTGGATGCAGTGGCCACTATAAGGAATAACCAACAATTGGCTTAGCTTTGATGTGAATTTTATTGAATTCTGGTTACCACAGTAGCCCAGTGCCAAATAAAACTCCAGCATCTGTACTCGTGAAAGTGGCAAGCAATGAGCACACAGATCTACTAAGACAAAAACCAATGTGCATTTGCATATCAAGCTCATTTGGAGGACCAGGCCAACCAAATCACGCACTTTTGATGAGCATAACCTTGCAAAGATCTCTACCCATAAAATGGTTGATATTAATAGGGACAAAAATTGGCTTCCTTCATCTCCTGGAATAAAGAAAAACACAACGGACTTTATGTGAGAACAGTAATATATTCTACAATCATCTGTTCCTCAGTTTTAATAAAGATCTGCTCACAAGCCACATACATTTTCCTGAACCTCATGTTACTGGTTTCAAGCCCTGCGATCTTCCGAGGGAAGCTTCAACCTCAGCCAATAATTCATATGCTAAACCATGAACTGCCATATCTTTTGATTTGCAACAGCTTCAAACACATCGTTGAGATGCAATATTAGAGTCATCATCTTAGGATATCCACCTAACAAAATGTCTAACCAATAAAGGCCCTCAAAGGTACAACTCTCATGATCCCTAAATAATTTTCAAGCTGTATTCAAACTAGAGATAAGCAAAGAAAGAGGTATTATAGGCAGCAAAGCAAAAGAGGGACAATAAATAGAGAGAAAAAGTTGAACAATCTACAGTAGAACAGCAACAAGGGCAAGCCTAAGAATTCCACCAAGGAGAACACGCATGTATGTCCCCATTCAACAGAGGAGGAACGGATCGATATTCAGTACAAGATATTCACTTTGTAAGAAAAACTGACTGCATTCAGATGACACACCTTCAGACACCACATGCACCAGGAGTTTCATTCTCAATATTTGAAGGAGGCTATTTTTTAGGAGTTCCAGCACTTAACTCCGTCAATTTTCTGATATCTCGTGCTTCTTTATTAAACATAAAACGATAACATAAATTTCAAATGTGGACATATGGATGCATCATACATTTTATGATGGAAGGCATGTGACTTCGGATTTCCAATGCCACCACACCAAAACTTAAGTAGAAATCTGAGAGTCCAAAACCGATGAACAAAAGGAGAAATCAAAAGGACCATCAACTCCAACATCTCATTCATATCAAGCAAAATGAGATGGGATAGCCTGATTCTACTCGCCAATTTCAGCGGGAAAGCAAAGGCTGCAGGAGCCGCCTCAAAGGGTTTATCAAAGAGGAAGATCTCAGCTTGCCGAATTCTTCAGGCAGATGTCATATGAACAAAAGCAAGAATATTCGACCATGACCCTCGATTCCAGATACACAAACCGTGCTTATTGCTCCATCAATGGAATCAAATTAACTAACTTCTCTCATAAACATCCAATACAGGAAGAATTCCCAAAAAACAAGGTCAACTTTCTGCTTCCTGAAGGTCAATCAATACAAGATAAACAAAATCTTGCTAATCCCACAGTTCACAATTCAGTAGTCAGTATTTCTTAGCCCTTTAGAATACAAAAGCAAGCGGAGCGCTTCAATGTCCAACCTCACTCGAATCTTCATTTCCTTCCTCTGCCACTCCTCTTCTCATTGCACGCCTTGAGAGCTTGCACTTCTATTGACCATGTCAAACAACACAAAGGCACAATCGCCGTCATCAGACGCATCGCTAATTCATCAACGTAAATTTCGCGACAATCCCATCTACGGCGTACCTTTTTGACACGATTTCCAGTTTCTGTCGTGGTTGACAAGACAATCCTGAAGACACCCACGTGGGATTTTCATCACCAGAAGCAGCGGAAGGGAATGATCGGAAGGTTTAGGGTTCTTCAGAACATACGTACCTGCAACGAAAGGTACAGAGAAGAGCACTCTCGGAGCTGCTTCACGTTCTCGTCATCCTCGTCGGCGTCGCTCTGGTGGATCGGCGGCGGCGGCGGCGGCGGAGGAACTTGCCCGCCGGCTAACGGCGGCGATGAGGTCATGGTTGGATCGTCAAATAGAATAGCTCATTGGGATAAATGAATAGTTCTTCTAAGTTTGAGTTTGGTTACGTTTTTATGAAACATTTAGATATTCAAGCGACCGCACCGAAACATCTAAATATTCGAGCTTGACTCGACTTCATCGTGATTAGAGACATAGATGGACTCGATTTCAAACTCGAATTTAATAAGCTCAAAGTAAAGTATATATAATTTTAAGCATCTTTGTCACAGATATATCAGTTTGGGATTTTTTGTGGTAAAAAAATTAGTTCGGGGTAAATTTGTCACAGGTGTACCAGTTTGGGGTTTTTCGTATTATTAACCCTAACAAAAATCCTTTCTGAAAAATCATTTTTTACGAATATGTTTTCTCCTTTTTCGTTTAGGAAATTAATTTTCCTAATTTTAAACATGCATATTTTCTTCAACCGTGAATGATTCTTCATTGACCGATTATTTTCAGTAAACCAAATACGTAGAAGTTTAGAAAACTAATTCGCTCACTCAAACAAACACACCTTTAATATTACAATGAAATTAGAGAGTCCTGACCTTATACAGCATTCTTCCAGCAATCAATGGTGCAATTCGATTTCTTGAGGTCAACAGTTCCATGGGATCTCCTGTGCTCGTGTTTTTGGAAATTTAATGCGGGCTCTTCCTCAGATATGGTGGTAAAGTAACTATGTGAAAAGGCTCTTTATCTGAATTTTTTCTAACTGAAAGCTTGTTAATATTCTTTTTTGTCAATTTCTCACTGTGGTACTTCAACAAGGATCATTGACCTGTATGATTAATTTCCGAATTGAGCTTCATTGACCGACTCGACAAAACCGAGTGCCTTTCTTATGTTTCTTAAGAAACAAAAATATAATGGGATGTCGAATCCGATATAAACAATGAGTTTTGCTACTAGCATAATAGTTTCGGGGGATTGTGAGAATAATAATATGATGAGAGGCGCAAATCCTAAAAGGGATGGATCTCATAACGATTTTTAATTATTTATTATTTATTTTTTGTGATCCAGAATAAGTTGTTAATCTCATAGAAGATTAATGTCAGTTATCTAATCATTTCTCGTAAACAATCTCACGCAATGCAACTTAGTATGGGAGTCTCGTTATATGAGATACATGCTATAAATACATTGTTAACCCGATTCCTAATAACCTATACTTTTGAGGAAAAAAAATGTTCGTTCACTTCAGATCGGTTCCTGGTGGCTGAGTTCTTTCGCACTAAGGAACACTTTGAAAATCTATAATGATCTAGGTTGCGGATGACTTTCGATCCAAATCGTGTTCTCCTGGCCGAAGGTTTTCGCTCTCAGAAACACTTAAGAAAAATTTTGAAGGATGTAGGTGGTCGACGACTAGGGAATAATGAAAATTTAAGTCATCCCATTAAGATTCAAAATGGTAAATTAAAGATGATAGACCACTTGAGGTGAATTCCTCCCTCGTTACAAATGGTCCTAAATGGATCGTGCAACATAACACAACCTTGAGTCTTGACTATTAGATCGTACAAGTCCTAGAGTTTGCTTGCTTGCTTTTCTTCATCTTTTTGTAATGGAATTGGCTACAGCTTATTTTTCTTTGGGATAAATGCACTGAAAGTCTTAAAATTTATCAGGAAAGTGTAATCGAATCCTAAAACTTTCAAAAAATGCAACTTATCGCGAAAGTGCAATCGAATCCTAAAACTTTTAAAAAATTCAATCAACGGAAAGACTTGTTTGGACCAAATTTGATTAGTTTTAGGACTTGATTGCACTTTTAAAACTTTTAGAACTCAATTGCATTTTCGTCAATTGCATTTTTGTGACAAGTTTCATGACTTAATTATATTCTTTGAAAATTTTAGGACATAATTGTACCATCACAATAAGTTTAAGACTTTTAATGCACTTATCCCTTTTTTCTTTTATAATGACGAAAAGGCTATTTTATGTAAAGCTCCGCGCCGAATCAAGTAACCTACAAAAATGACATTGGGTGAACTAGTTCTTTTCATTTATAAAGTTCACTGTTAATGGAGCCAAGAGTTACAAGTACAACCTTATGGTAAGACTCAAGCCCGTCTGTTTGTTCTAATCTCTTATTGAAATGGCTACTTTTGGGCATGAAGGCTTTGTATCATTGTTTGAAAGCCAGTAGATCAGCATGATACTTGGTGATCCACCCTTTTATAATCTCAACCTCCATTTTTCGTTGCCTGACCAACCATTTTGGATCAGTTTGGTCTGCTACAAGTATGTCCAGACAATGAGAACCTGCATAATATGTAGCCACAATATTAGGGGATTGTTTGAATTGGCTTTTACCTTTTATTTTTCACTTAATTTATATCTTACAGCGCACTCATATCGACTTTTTGTAAACAAAAAAGAATCTGATATACCTGAAACTAATGCAAATAGGTACATGCTTGGTTATGGAATAACCTCTTGATTTATCCACTAAATCAAGATTGTGAAAGTATGTATACCTTTTTGTGTATAGATAGCGACGATAGTGTCTGAAATGTTCTTGAGGACCCTGAGTAAAATAAAGAAATTGTTAAACCAAACTAAATGGAAATTTCGAATCTTCTGCAAGTAAATTTGTTAAGTTTCTATACCCGCCACTACTGTAAGGATCTCGAAGCCCATTTGAGAAAATAATGTTGCTGCCAAACTTCCGAAGAACCTGTTCTATATCCTGCAATTTTTTAACAAGAGAAACAAGTGAACAGCAAAGACTTGAAGGTTTTTCAATGATCTTTAGATGCATGGATATCAATTTCATTTAATGACAAAATATCAAGGCCATATCTTTGTGAAAAATCACTGAAAATCATACATGACCGCCGTAATAAGTGGTGATCCAATGCAGCCGAGGCATGACGCCATACGAGCTGTTGCATCGATCATTGAAGTTGCTCAAGTTGAAAGGATTTGCTTGAAACATAGAATTGTTGGTAATGCCTACGCCCATCATCATCTCGCTGCATCTCTGCAAACAGCTCTCTCTTTCAGTCCAAGCGAAACGAGGCGATTTAATTACAGAATTGCATTAGGACATCTCCTGACCATGATAATTGCCGAAACAAAGATTGTTTATGGGATGAGCGTATTCAATTCATCCTACTTGGACGTAAATGTTGTACAAGTTTCTCGTACCCTAAGGATATATAAAATGCAAGCAATACATACTTACGACAGATGATGAAACAGCCTGCAGCACAAAATACTTTTTTGTAAAGTACTTTTTTCCTTAATTTTGTATAGCCTAGACAAACCCGTGATCGTCTTTAATGGTCAAAATGAGCATTGTTTGACCTATGTTTGATTTGCAAAAGTTAGTTCCTTGAAGCAAATGGATCATATCGAAGAACCAACGATTTGTCACTTCACTCAATAAACCAAATGAAACTGTAGAGTAATATACCTGCCACCCCCAGCCCAACTTGGTTTGAGAAGGGGTAGTGCCGGTGGGAGGAGCGATGTAGCATGTGGAGTTTCCATGCGAGGCAACGACGCCTGCAAATATTTTTTCAAGAATGCCAGTTTCAGAAGTATTTCCTCCATCAATGCCTTTGCACATTACTTCCACTGGATATGTTGGTGGATCATCATATTGAGCTGCTCCCGCGTACTGTAATATCAGATAGTTCTTCAGCTCATCCCCACTCTCCAAAGGCCTAAGTCACCCAAAGAACATTCAAAACAAGTACTAATTAAACGTCAATTTAGCTTCGAACATTGATGACACGTTATCGACTCGAGCGACCAAAAAAGTCGTTAAGTAGTGCATATGTGTGATCTCGCTTAGTCGTGAGATTGTCACACACATAATATATAAACGATGCATAAAAAGACGTACCTACAAGTTTTGAAGATCTTACTTAATCGTAAGAGGCCACCAGGTTCAGAAGCAACTCTATCGATCTCCGCCCACGAGTCTCTTATAGTTTGGTAGCAAGTCTTGCTAGCTTCCTGTGTAAACCATCCAAGGCGGAGCACGAGTTATGAAAGAAACATTAAGGTCCCAAAGATTGCTCGAGGGATATGTGCATCCGTCTTTCTCACTAAAGTCCTGTTTTCAAATCACCACACTAGCACATTCTCTTTGTACCAACCTTTCGGTGGGGAGACTGCCTCATCTAATGGATATGCAAAATTGGGTACTCGAAAAATCTTGGGCGATCCGTTATTAGAACGAAAAGAAAAGATTAGGAGGAGTGTGATTACCATGAAGTCCTTGGTGACTACCGAAAAGTATCCATCCTGTGGGGTAATGCCGTCAAAGTACAGTATCGGAGCAGACGAGGCCAGAGCTCCAAAGGCCAAATGCGGATACTTTAGCCGGAACCACGAAGCAAGCACTGAAATCCCCGTAAGCTAGCCATCAACAATTTGATAAATTGAATGAGTTACATTTCTTTCTTGAAAAAATAATCCTATTTTCCTTGAGTCCTTGACAATGAAGGTAGTAACAGCTCATCGTTCCGGCATAATTGAAAATGGTGTTGTAGCTATGCGCGTGCCACATAGGTGAGACGAAACCCCATTTTTTTCTCTTATATATAGTGATTATTGAGTGTTTAATTTTTCCTATATGCATGAGAACCTTCAATTGTATGTACATGTTTTGAAAATGTATTGATAAGTGTTCTATCAACTTTTTTTTATCAATTCGCATATAAAGTTGTAGGGAAAATTTTCCAAAAAGTCCTAAAAATATTGCACTTTGGCCAATTCAGTCTCAAACATTTCAATTGTGCTAATTGAATCCTAAACTTTTTCACGTTTTGCCAATTGAGTCCATCTGGCCAATTTTAACCAGAAATCGCTGACATGGACACCGATAGTGCCACGTAGAATAGTCAGCGCTGTCATTGATGATTTTTTATAATTTTTTTTAAGAAAAATTTGATTTTTTATAATTTTTTATTTATTCTTTTTCTTTCTTAAGTCTGGCAAGGGCTGGCCGGTCCTCGCCGATCACTGTTGAGGGCTGATCAACCCTTGCCAAGCTTGGAAGGAAAAAAGAAAAATAAAGAAAAAAATA